AAGGAAGGAAGGAAGGAAGGAAGGAAGGAAGGAAGGAAGGAAGGAAGAAAGAAAGAAAGAAAGAAAGAAAGAAAGAAAGAAAGAAAGAAAGAAAGAAAGAAAGAAAGAAAGAAAGAAAGAAAGAAAGAAAGAAAGAAAGAGAAAATAATTAAGGATTTCATTTAGTTTTGGAAAAGAAATGAGGGTTGAGATCTGCTACTCGTGCTTTAAATATCATCCTCCTTATTGTGATTATGCCCCAAAAAAGAGTAGGATATGTCTCAGGAACTGATTTTCAGCATTCTGTCATTCATGGATGCTAAAAATGGAGATAAAAGCCAGGCGGTGTTTTTTTTTTTTAATGGACAGCTTCTCCCTTTGCCCTAGCAGCGTATGCAATCTTTTGATCGGTAAATAAATTATTCAAACGGGACAGCTGGATTAAAATTCATGGAGGTGACTTTCAGTTAATGACCAAAATATGCATTTTCTAAGCGCTCTAGATTTCGTTCTTGGATAAGAAAGTTGTTTTGGAGAACAAGGTCCCTCTCAGAATTTGTTGTTGATTTTTGGCTCAGTGCAACCGTCAAGATCTATAGGGCAGCTCAGCCTATGAACCTCTGTGGTTTGTCCACCAGTGGAGCAGTGGTTAGAGCATAGGACTTCGTCAACCACAGAGGTTCACTGGGTGACTTTGGGCCAGTCACGCAGCCCAGTCAATCACATAAGGCGGTGAACTGAAGTTAAGAAAGAAGGAAAGAAGGGAGGGAGGGAAGGAAGGAAGCAGGGGTGGGATTCAAATTTCTTAACAACCGGTTCTGTGGACGTGGCCTAATTTGTGGGTGTGGCTTGGTGGTCACATGACTGGCTGGGCATGGCTTGTATGGAAATATTGTAAAGATTTATGTAAAGATTTAATTTTTTATTTTAAAAAACCAACTTTTATCCAAAATCAGGCAAAGCAGGCAGGTAGATTGAGTTGCTCACAGAATCACAGATTCACTTAGAGATCTATCTTTCTGCAATCTGCTACCTGAGTCTGCACTGAAAAATAGAAGCTTCAGTCCTAAGGAAGGTTCAGCTCTGCTTTTAGACTAGCTAGAAAGCAAGAAATCCAACAATTTCCTGCTTTCTAACTAATCTAAATCTCCCGGCACAGCAGAACAACTGATGGTCGGGGAAAAAAAAAGAAAAGAAAAATAGCAACTTAGCAGGCAAGTTTGATGGCACTCACGCCAGGTAAGGAGTGAGTGGGCGGGAAGGGGAGGGGAGGGGCCAGCCAGGGGCACAATTTGCCAGTTCTCCGAACTGGGCAGAATCATAACAACCGGTTCCATAGAACTGGTTCGACCAGGTAAAATCCCACCCCTGGAAGGAAGGAAGGAAAATGAATAAAGGAGGAAGGAAGGAAGGAAGGAAGGAAGGAAGGAAGGAAGGAAGGAAGGAAGGAAGGAAGGAAGGAAGGAAGGACGGACTACCAAATTTGGCAGAAAAAACTGAACTGAAATGCCAGAAAAATCTTTTCTGTGACTGCTAAAATATTTGGGTTATCGTTACAAGCGGTCCTTGACTGTATGATAAGCCACTTAATGACCATCCAAAGTTGCAACCTACATACCTACAAAAAGGGAGTTATCCAATTCCAGTTGGGATCCAGTCACCTGACCGCATTTTACAACAGTTTTGGCAAAACCACACCTTACTGAACAAACGGTTGGTCTAATAACAGTGGCATTCGTTTTATGACTGCTGCATTGGCTTAACGACCGACACCAAAAAAGCTTGTAAAATCAGGCCGGTGCTATAACCCCTGTCATGTCCTATGACTGCAATGGGCAGACACATTACAGTCGTAGGTCCAGAATTGCCTGCATTATCACAGATCTGAAAACAGGAGTTGTACTCTTGGCAGCCTCTTGTACAAACCCTGGTTGTGTGTATAACCTCCCTTGCAGCCATAATTGCAACTCTCTGTTCTGACCCAAACCTTGTTCCAAGGAAACAAACATGAAACAGAGGTAACAGCAAAACCTTTTAATGATTCTTCACGAATTCTGTTCCTTCACGGTTAAAAGGCTGCTTCAAACTAATTTTCTCTGATAAGAACGAGCCTTGCCAAGGTTGTGCAAGGCTGCCAAGAACTCTAGATAAAGTTACTAAGAAATATTTCAAACACAAAGAGTCTCCAAACACCAACCAAGCTATTCTGAACGTCCACAAGGCTTGAGTGCAAAAACTTCTTTGCTTCCTGCAAAGAACTCTGGTTTCTCAGCTGGCTTTTATCTCTTGAGGGACGGGCCATTACCTTGCAGCCTTACTCCTGAGTTGCTCATGCTACTGCAGCTGGTCTTTCCTTTGAGCAGCCCTACGCTCATGCACACTAGGCACAGGCTCCTCGGGGACCTCTTCCTCACTGCTGCCAGCCTCCACCATCTCCAAAGGCAGCACCCCGCTCTCCTTTAGCCCTGGCCCCATCCCTGCAACACACACAGGCCTCTCATCTGAATCCTCGCTCTCTGAGACCCCACACCTGCTGCCCACGAACCACAACACTATCTCACTGATAACGGTTCCCTTCAAACAGTTAGAAAGTACATGGAGATTGCATTTTGTTCTCAAATTCCATCAGTCATTCAGTAGCTTAAACGGTTACAGCCACAGATAATCACCATTTAAGCCTGACAGAGAATAGCACAACGTTCATTGCCCTTTAACCTAGAAAAAAATCTCCAAGAGAACTGAATCCCAGGGCAAGGAGTAGAAAAATCAATGTTTAAGTTGTCCATATACAGTATACAGACGCGGTGGCTCAGTGACTAAGACGCTGAGCTTGTCGATCAGAAAGGTCGGCAGTTCAGCGGTTCGAATCCCTAGCACCATGTAATGGAGTGAGCTCCCGTTACTTGTCCCAGCTTCTGCCAACCTAGCAGTTCGAAAGCATGTAAAAATACGCAAGTAGAAAAACAGGGACCCCTTTGGTGGGAAGGTAACAGCGTTCAGTGCGCCTTCGGCATTTAGTCCTGCCGGCCATATGACCACGGAGACGTCTTCGGACAGCGCTGGCTCTTCTTCGGCTTTGTAACGGAGATGAGCACTGCCCCCCTAAAGCCGGAGACAACTAGCACGCATGTGTGAGGGGAATCTTTACCTTTACTTTTACCTTTATATGTAACATAACAAACAAAGAAACAAATTCCTTGTGTGTCCAATCGCACTTGGCCAATAAAGAATTCTATTCTATTCTAAAAAGAAGGAACCAGAATTCACTCAAGAGGTTCTGTAGTCACACAAACATTTGAGTTAAGTGCTTCCGAATCGCCTTCTCTCTAACTTTCGATTTCCCAGTAGGGATTCAAATAAGGAAGGGCTTTATGAAATCTATTATTACTAATGTCGATTTAACTCCTTACCTATCATTGGCTGAATACTGGTCTCCATCACACTGATGAACTGATGATATATACGAATGGCCAGATCGCTAAGGACCTGCCTGTATTCGGACAGATCAAAGTGAATCAGATTGTTCTTATTTTGTTGTGGTGTGTTGTACTTCATGAATTCCTGGAAAGTCAATTGCAGTGTTATCGCCAAATGGCAATTAAGATCACAGACAAATTATACATTTTTCAGACTAATACAGAGCTTTTAAGGTAGTAAAATAGAATATAAACAAATTACAGAGTCATCCGTTCCATTTTATTTTATTGAAAAATGTCAGGGGCAGATTTTTGTTTTGTTCTTCTTCAGAATTCTTAAATTTAAGTGCATTTTGGTGAACGCCAACTGTGCAATTCAAGAGTTAAAGCAGGCTATTTCTAAGGCATTTCCGAATGCCTAGAAATTCCATAGCTAAAAGAGCGGAAAAAAGAGGATAGATATCACCATAAGTTAAAATTAAATTTCTTACACTTCAAGACAAATTAAGCAAAACCAGAATTTCTTTACATAAGGACTGCAAACTCTCCAGATCACAATTTAGAGGTGTTAAATTGTTCTCATCCCTGAAAGCAGCTGTTTCGTCTTACTTATATTGGCAGCTTCCTATCCCAATTAGAAGCAAATAATAATAATAATCATGGCACCGGATTTGGCTTCTCTTATGAAAGGCCAAAACTGGTGATCTAAGGTATGATCAGAGGTGACACCTGAGGCTCTAAGAAGATGGGGTCCTAACCCTGCCAGAAGGCAAGAGCAGCTAAGACAAAAGGGGTGACTCAGGAGTAAGGCTTGGAGGTGATTGCCCCTCATAAAGGAGACATAAAGGAGGAGCAAAGGGACAGGAACCTTTGCAGGAAGCAACTTTGTCCATACTGGTCAGTTTGAAAGCTGAAGCTCTGTATTGAATTTGCGCTCCGTTTGGTCTCGTATAACTAATTGGGAATTTAATCATTGGCAGCATTTCAAGGAAGATAAAGGTCCGTACTTATCAGGCTTATCCCGAAGGACTTTGGCAAACTTCCATGGGACTATTTACAAACTGTTTGAGACTCATTACGGGCTGTGAATGACTAAAATTCACAGCCATAAAATAAAGAAAAAACGGGGTTTGGGACTAACGTGCGTTTGTTAGTTTCTCAATAAGCCTTGGTCAGGACAAAAAGGGCTATGAACACAGGAAGGTAACACCAGGTTGGTGTATTAAACTGTTCACAAAGACAAGCCTAGGATGAAATTAATCTTACCTCTTCCCCACTGTACTGCTTCAGGCAGTTAAGAAAATGGCAGGTATTGGAAAGCCAAAAGGACAACATCTCAAAGTCTTCGGCGTGTTCCTAAATAACAGCACGCTTTTCTTTAATTTTACATTTTATATGCACACATTAAAAAACAACCACCATTTAGTAACAGAAATCCTGGACCCAATTCTGATTGTAAGTCGAGACTACCTGTATACAAACCATGGCTTGGGGAAACAATCAACGGTAGTGATTCACTTAGCAACTGTGGCAAGAAACCAGAGGTGGTATTCAGCAGGTTCTGACCACTTCTGGAGAATTGGTAGTGGAAGTTCTGAGTAGTTCGGAGAACCGGCAAATACCACCTCTGTTTGGCCCCACGCCCATCTATTCTCTGCCTCCCGAGTCCCAGCTGATCAGCTGGGTCTTCTTTGGTTGCCTTGCACAGGAGAGCAGAGCTGGAAAGCAGGTTAGTGGGGTGAGGAGGGAATGGGTTTTTGCAGTAACCTTCCCCTGCCATGCCCACCAAGCCACACCCACCAAGCCATGCAATGCCCACCAAGACACCACAGAACACCACGCCCACCAAGCCACACCCACAGCTGATCAGCTGGGTCTTCTTTTGTTTCCCTGTGGAGGAGAACAGATCTGGAAAGCAGGTTAGTGGGGTGGGGAAGGAATGGGGATTTTGCAGTATCCTTCCCCTTCCACGCCCACCAAGCCATGCAACGCTCACCAAGCCACACCCACAGAACACCACGCCCACCAAGCCACACCCACAGCTGATCAGCTGGGTCTTCTTTTGTTGACCTGCACAGGAGAACGGATCTGGAAAGCAGGTTAGTGGGGGTTGGGAGGGAACGGAGGTTTTGCAGTAACCTTCCCCTGCCATGTCCACCAAGCCACACCAACCAAGCCATACAACACCCACCAAGCCACGCCCACAGAACCAGCAGTAAAAAATAATTGAATCCCACCCCCAAGAAAAGTTGTAAAATGAGGCAAAATTCAGGCAACAAAAGGTCTCGCTTAACAAAGGAAATTTTGGGCTCAGTTGTGATTGTATGTTGAGGACAACCTGTACAATCTGAGACTGCAGCGGTCACTGTAGCCATGCACACAGCTTGTTTTCTTCCTACTAGTAACTACATCCATCGTGTTGGAGGTTTCTATTTTGTAAACATTCCCACAGAATTGCCACGCAGGCCCTTTGAAAAGCAAAGCGATCGCTCTACTCAAGGGATCCTTACCTTAATGACTTGTTTTATGCCATTGATAGCCATGTTCATAAAGGACTTCAGCATGCTGTCGTCGTTCAAATAATCCGCATATCTTATGCACATAAAGAGGATATGAGCTGGCAGCCCAGGAATCATATTAACAACTACTCCACGGGGTTTCAAATCTGCAAGGAATACAAAAATTAAATTTAGGATTTAATGGGTACTAGAAGAGGTTTAGAGCTTTTTTTCAGGGAAAGGCTGCCTCCAAGGAGATTGTCTGGAGTTCTGCGATACACAAGGGGAACAAAACGACCAGAAGCAAGGAAAATAGTTCTGGCTATCCTTTTTTCTTAGGGGGAGGGGTGGGGGGCTATTTGAGATAGAATTGGAAAAGCTGTGCTACCCGCCTACCCAAATATTGTTGAGCTACCAGCCTCCTGACTATTAGATTAAGGTTGCTCAAAGTTACAAGGTCTCCATGCTTTGTGAACGAGGTTCAGGGAAGGAGGGAAGGGAGGGAGGGAAGGAGGGAGGATGGGTGGGTGCAAGCAGGCAGGTAGCAGAAAGGGAGGGAGGGAGGGAGGGGGTGCAGACAGGAAGAAAGGGAGGGCACAGGCAGGCAGGCAGGGAGGGAGGGAGGGAGGGAGGGAGAGGGCAGGCAGGCAGGCAGAAAGGAAGGAAGGAAAGAAGGGAGGGTGGATGCAGGCAGTTAGCAGGAAGGGTGGAAGACAGGAATGGAGGGAGGGAGGGGGATGCAGGCAGGCAGGAAGGAAAGGAGGGAGGGAAGAATGGAGGGTGGATGGGTGCAGGCAGGCAGGTAGCAGGAAGGGAGGGAGGAAAGGAGGGGAGTGCAGGCAGGCAGGCAGAAAGGAAAGGAGGGAGGGAGGGTGCAGGCAGGAAAGAAGGAAGTAAGGAAAGGAGGGAGGGTGGAGGCAGGGAGGAAGGAAAGAAGGAAGGAGGGAGGAAGGAAGGAAGGAAGGAAGGAAGGAAGGAAGGAAGGAAGGAAGGAAGGAAGGAAGGAAGGAAGGAAGGAAGGAAAAACGTCTCAGTAACAAGTTGATTGTTTTTTAGATGCGACTTACAGTAATGGAAGATCAGAGAAGGATAAGGAAATTCAGGATTCTGGAGTCTTCCAAAGGTTTAAGCTTGAAGGATGAACAGTTTATAGAGAAGTTACAGGAAAAAACATAGACAAAAGACCCTTCCCCACTACACAAATATCAGATGCCTTTAAAAGACCACAAGAAAGAAGAGGGAAAATGTAAGGACTGATCACAGCCCAAAATCTTTAATAACATTAACGCCTTGAGTTTCGCCTAGATTTACGTTAACGGAAATGCAAAATGTTACGGACGTACCAAGGATCAGATTTTGAGCGATTTTTGGTTCATCCTCCTTTCTGTACTGCAACATCCCCAGGTATTCCCTCAGCACAGAAGACGGGGATTCTTCATGGCCTGTTTAGTATCGAAATAGATTTACTTCCAGAAAAAAAGAAACCTCGACCATGTGTCACAAAATTGGATTTTAAAATATGAAGTGTTAAGCATAAAAAGTGGGGTGCGCGTAAGTGCACTAATGTGCCTATCGTTTCCTGTCGTGGTATTTTTATTCTTTTATCCTTGTTCTTGTTTTTGTTTGGTACATTCTAATAAATAATAAATAAATAGACATTCTTACCTGTCTCAATGGATTTTTTAAGGGTTCTGATCTGATCCTGAAGTTTCTTTATCAACCGGTCTTTTTTATCCAGCTCTTCTTCCAGATCCTACGATGTCAGTGGGGTCGAGGAAGAAAAATGGACGTTAAAATGGCCTCTGTCCGCTTCCAGGAATGCCATTTCTCTCAACTGTCTCCTATATTTTTTTTGGCAGCATTCCACAGAACTGAAAGGTGTGGTGCTTATCTTGGGGGACTGTTTTAAGATTAGTTCTGGCAGGGAATGAAAACAATTCCCAGCGTTGCAATAAAATAGGTTTTGCTTTTAAAACAAGTTTTATGATTAATTACGATTGACGAAGCCTGGCTCAGAACACCAGGTGCCTTTTGGAAAAAGCACCTTTGGGACACCGGTGGGACATGCCTATTTTTTTAAGCAGTTCATAATAAACATTTCTGAACTTCCGGGTCTCCCTTACCGTGTTTTCCATGGTGAGATACGCCACATCCTGCCATACTTTGCTTCCAGTCCCATTTGCTCTTTCAGACTGGTTCTCCAGACTGTCCCGCTGAAACACTGGAAACGTGGCTAGCGTCTTTCCTTTAGTGGACATGACCTTTCGAAGCGGCAAAGCTCTAAAAAGAATAAGATATATTTGAGCCTCTCTTTTTTTGTCCCTGTGCACAAAACAACATTTTGCTGTGCGGGTATTCCTTGAGGTAAAGCCACAATTGGGATCAGCTTCTCCGTTGCTAAGAGAGGAGGATGTTAAGCGAGTTACACCCAATTTTACAAGCTTTATTTCATGGTTGTTATGTTAATTACTACAGTTGTTAAGCGAATCTGAGTCGGGAGACAGGTGGGAATGTCATAAACGGTGATCGCATGATGCTGGAACTCTATAATTCTAAATTGTTACTAAATGGATTGTTGTAAACCGAGGATTTAATGTAAAATGTTCTATGTTCCACTATCCATGCATTTCAAGCTTCTTCTTTTTTTAAATCCCCAGATCAGGAAAAAATAATATCCCTCCGATCCTTTTTTAGGTAGAAATCAGCCAATAAAATCTTTCACAATACTCTTATTATACAAGATCACTTTCTAAGAAGCTATTAAATGAAAACGTCAGTGGCAAAACATAGAAACCTTTTCTGAAATATGTGGCAATTTCTCATAAGTTTCCAACATAATCATTGTAGGTCTTCCTTTCCATTTTCCTTTTCATTTCCATTCTACAGAGAAATTATTGAATCTGTCATCTGCACCTCTATAACTGTCTGGTTTGGTTCTGCAACCCAACAAGACAGACGCAGACTTCAGAGAGTAATTAGGACTGCAGAAAAAACAATTACTATCAACCTGCCCTCCATCGAGGACCTGTATACTGCACGAGTCAAAAAGAGGGCTGTGAAAATATTTACAGACCCCTCACATCCCAGACATAAACTGATTCAACTCCTTCCCTCAAAATGATGCTACAGAGCACTGCACACCAGAACAACTAGACACAAGAAGAGGTTTTTCCCAAAAGCCATCCCTCTGCTAAAGAAATAATTCCCTCAACACTGTTCAACTATTTACAAAGTCTGCACTACTATTACTGTTAATCTTCTCATCACTCCTTATCACCCATCCCCTCCACTTATGACTGTCGCTTGTATCCTTACTATTTATATTGACTGTTTCCTAGTATAAGATTGCTTATTGTACCCTATGACTATTAAGTGATGTACCTTATGATTCTTGACTCTGACGAATGTCTCTTTTCTTTAATGTACACTGAGAGCATTTGCACCAAGACAAATTCCTTGTGTGTCCAATCACACTTGACCAATAAAAGAATTCTATTCTATTACTTAGAAATCCGGCTGTGCTTGCACAACACAAGTGAACACAAAGCAACCAATCGTATTTTAGACTGCCAAGGTAGACAAACTCAACCACATGTAATCTAGTTAAAATCCAGAATGTTTGTGAAGCCAGAACATATAATTAATACCGTGGTTAGTTGAATCATTTTACAAAACTACTGCTTAAAGTTCAATGCCCAGATAAATCTACAGTCACATGGCCCAATCACTAATATTTATTATTATAATTAATAATAAATTATCGTTATTTATTTTTTACATTGAAGTCTGCTTACTGTTTTTGTGAGCGTTCCTCATCTGGGTTTTGAGGTGTCCAATCTTTTGTGTCTTCCATTTTCTCTGCAACAATAAAGATAAGTGTTTTAATCTGTGAACTCACATTAGAATTTAATACCTTTAATATGATGACAGTAACCATATCTTTACATGCTAGAATATTTAAAGAGAGGCTGAATGGGATCTGGGAAGAATAATGAAACAATACAGGAAAACACAGGAAGAGGAAAAAGTAACAACAGGCCCTCCAGATACATAATATGAAGGATGCAGCAAGATTCTCCATATATAATACAACCTCACATTAAACAGAAAAAACAATTTCACAGAACATGAATAATTAAGTCTTTCTAAAGTGCAGCCTATCATCCACCACTGGCTGTTACTAGGCAGCAGTTTATGGATGGTAGAGTTTTAAAGCCTAATAAAACATGAAGATAATATAGAATAAAAAGTCTTCCAATAATAGCTCTTTTTTTTAATGATAGGTGAAATGAGAAACCTCTCTCTTCCCCGTCTCTTTCCTTCCTTCCTTCCCTCTCTCCCTCCCTCCCTCCTTTCTTTCTCCTTCCCTCCCTCCCTCCCTCTTTCCTTCCTTCCCTCCCTCTCTCCCTCCCTCTTTCCTTCCCTCCCTCTCTCCCCCTTCTCTCTCTCTCTCACTCTCTCTCCAGGAACAAGCCCTCTTTACTGAACGTTATGGACTATTATCTGGTCCAATGAAGGTTGCTAGATAGAGATTATTCGATTTCACCTCTTGGGCTAAGAGAGTAACCAATGCAAACTCATCTGCCCAGCTTCCATGCTTAAATAGGACTTGAACTCAGGACTCTCTCTTTTAGGCCAGGTGCTTTTCCACCAACCATAATGGCTCTTGGGTGGAGGGGGAAGGATTGGCATGACGTGCACGACCCTATTCCTGCTTCCAGGAAGTGAGCGTGCCAGAAACTGAAAACTGTGACTGAATCTTAGGCACCTATTCTCGGCCGGCCTGAGTAGAACATCCCTGGCCAAAAGAATATTCTCCCCATCGTGCAAATTACCATTTCTCTTGGCAAGTTCATCCTGAAGACGATTCTCAAGGTCCAACTTCTGCTTCTGAAGTTCTGAAACCTGCCGCTTAAGGTCAGGCATCATCTTCAACCAAAAAAGGAAAAAAGGGAGGGAAGAATAGGATAACTACGTCATTCCTCCGTTGTTACGATTGTTGTTGTTATTATTATTATTATTACTACAACAACAGCAAAAAAAAAACGGCTTTCTTCAGTAACTATTGTTCACTTGCTTTGAAGCGAAGAAGATCTTGATAGGCACCCTAAATCCTGTTTTAGAGATACGGTACTCTATGGTTCAATCGGTAGTCTCAACAGTTTACTTTACAAAAGGTTGGAGTAGGTCTTGATTGAGTATGAAGTTCCTCGTTACTCTTCTTTACTGGGTAACTTCTACTGAAATAGTACAGGGCGGGGGGGGTCAAATTCGATTTTATTGAGGGCCGCATCAGTGTTGTGCTTGACCTTGGGTTGTGTGTGTGTGAGAGAGGGGGAGGGGGCATGGCCAGGATGGGCATGGCCAGCTCGACATCACTTGTGTTGGGGGCGCCTATGATGGCCCAAGAGCTCTGCCGCAAAAACAGGTTCCCGAGCTCCATTTTCAGCTGTGACAGCCTCCTGCAACCAGGAGTGGGATTCTACAGGTTCGCACCTATTCACTAGAACCGGTTGTTAATATTCTAAGCAGTTCAGAGAACCGGTTGTTAGAAGAAACTTTTACTGGCCTAATCCTGTAAGGAAGGCAGGAAGGAAACATTCTGGTGTTGCTTACAGAAACTGCCTCTCCGTTAACCCTTATTACATTCTTGGCAGGACTAGACTTCCTGTCTCAGGAACTTCTCTGGAGTTTTTTTCCCTCCTTTGCTTGTGTGGAGTGACCATTCAAAGTTACAATGGCACTGAAAAAAGTGACTTATGACCATTTTTCACACTTACGACTGTTGCAGCATCTCCACAGTCATGAGCGACCAGGTGAGGAGATGCGTGCCTCGATGTGAGTGATGTTGAGTTGGCCATGCCCTCCCAGTCACATGACCACCAAGCCACGCCCACCACCTAAGCCATGCCCACAGAACCAGTTGTTTAAAAATTTGAATCCCCCCTGACAGGAGCCCCAAAAGGTTAGCTACCACTGTCCCAGAGCCTTCTCCCACGCACACCACACATCTCTGTGCATGCTTGTGCACCTCCTGAGCCTCCCCACCCCGCTGCACATGCGTGCCAGATACCTGACAATGAGGTGGCAGGCACGCATGCACAGTGGGGCTCTTCCGGGCAACCTCTCGTGTGCCACTTCTGGCACATGTGCTCTAGGTTTGCCATCACGGCTCTAAGACAACATGCCATGGCCAACTCGCCACCAGCAACTCACTTCAGGAAAACTCCCTGCAGGACAATGCAACACCGTTATCATTTCATTCAATTTATCCAAGGGTGGGATTCAATTTTTTTTAACAGCCGGTTCTGTGGGCGTGGCTTAGGTGGTGGGCGTGAGGAGATGCGTGCCTCGATGTGAGTGATATTGGGTTGGCCGTGCCCAGCCAATAACATGACCACCAAGCCACGTCCACCTAGTCACATGACCACCAAGCCATGCCCACCAGCTAAGCCACGCCCACAGAACCAGTTGTTTAAAAATTTGAATCCTACCCCTGCCTGCAACGCTCTGCCAGCGAATACGGAGCTGGGTGAGCTCCGTTTTCGCTGGCAAAGGCACCGCGGGCCAGCCCTTTGCTATTTCCAGGGCGTCGCCATGGGCCAGATCTAACCATCCCGTGGGCCTTGAGTTTGACACCCCTGGTATAGGGTCTCCTGCTTGAGCAGGGAATTGGATTAGAAGACTTCCAAGGTCACTTCCAGCTTTTTTCTGATTGACTGATTGATTGATTGATTGACCTCACAAAATCAAGCCAGGCCACTTGGGAGCCGATGGTTTAAAAAACAGGCAACCTGCTTGCATGCAAGATCTGCAGGCCAATTTTGTAATACAGGTAAGTCCTCAACATACAATCTTTGGTTGAGCATCTCCTTGAAGTTCCGACAGCATTGAGAAAACAGATTTACAACCGGTTCTTGTGAACGATGACCGAGAATCTTAACAGATATTTAGCTATGCGCTAAATGAAAATCCTTCGAACGGTCTGGGAGTAGGAACGGATTTCCAAAGAAATGGCCATCTCAAAAAAACCATTTGCACTACTCAGTTGACTCCTCTTGAAAAAGCACCTTTGGAACAATAACAGCTGCAGTGATTCACTTAACAACTATAACCCCAAAAAGGTCATGAAATGGGACGCGACTTTACTTAACAACCACCATGCTTGGCAATGGAAATTCTGGTCCCAGCAGTGATTGCAAGTTTGAGGACTACCTGTAGCTACACCTGGTTTTGCTAACTGCTTACCTGTTCCTATTTGGAAGCCATTTGGTTCTAGAAGAGATTTCTAAGTTCTATAACAGACCTCACCATATTCTCTGAAGTTAGCCTGGCAACTTGGAGACGGATACATTCATTGGTGTTGTTTTCCTCTCTGAAGAGCTTCTGTAGATGGGTGATTTCTTGACTCAGATGGTTTATTTTAGCATTCAGTTCGTCTATCTCCCTTTCGTAGTGCTCCTTCTGATCCTCGAAATGTTTTTCCAAAACTCTGCAGGAAGGACGACAACAAAAGAGCTTACAAGAAGACAGGATAGTCATAATAATGCAATGCTCGTCTTTGCTGAGAGCAAAAGAAATCCACGAAAGAAGTATTGGGCACCAATCAATTAAAAAAAAAAAAAAGACCTGTTAATACGGATAGAACTTTTTAGATGAGATAGAAATTTAGTTTAGTTTAGTTTAGTTTATTGTCATTGCACCTCGTACAATGAAATCAAATACCATCTTCAGTGCACATCATGACCATGAAACACACATCCTTCACACGCCACACATTGAATTGAAAACCCCTGACACGGCACCAACACTGCACTATACAGTAGAATTCAACAGAGCTCCTGCCCTGGGATAGAAGCTGTTTTTCAGCCTATTTGTCCTTGTTTTTATTATCCTGCACTGTCTGCCAGATGGCAATAGTTCAAAAAAAGGGTTCCCAGGATGAGATGGATCTTTGAGAATATTTTGAACTTTCTTAAGGCAGCGGGAGCTATAAAGCTCTTCCAAAGAGGGGAGAGGGCAACCCATGATCTTCTGGGCAATGATGTTAACCCTCTGGAGTGCTGTCCTATCTGCCACTATGCAATTGGCAAATCATACACAGGTGCAGTAAGTTAAGATATTCTCTATGGTGCAGCAGTAGGTCACCAGCAGTTTTTCATTCACTTGTTGTTTTCTGAGAAGTCTCAGGTAGTCTAATCTCTGCTGGGCCCTTTTGACCAGGGCTTCAATGTGAGCCCCCCAGGTCAGGTCCTCTTTTAGGGTAACACCCAGAAACTTAAAACTGGCCGCTTGCTCCTCTTGGTCTCCATTGATTTATCCATTGATAAATTTAGGACAATTGTAATTCTGACATGATTCTTATTACACCTTTGCTGGTTACTGAATACTGATTTGACGTTAATAATGGTTTTGATCACTTTTGTATGCAGCAGTAATGTAATGTTAACTTCAACATTTTTCCTCGGTTTTATACAGCTTGTAAATCTCTTTCCCATTTCTTGTTTCTTTTCTGCTTTATCTGCACTGGGCTTTCAATTGCCTATTAAATAAAAGGGACATTTTTAAAGAAAAGAGTCCAATTCAAGATTATTCCCTCCCATAACAAATCTGTACAGAAGAATGGATCACTTCAGTGGTGGGATTCAATTTTTTTTAATACCAGTTCTGTGGACGTGTCAGGGGAAGGATACTATAAAATCTCCAGTCAGAGGTGGTATTTGCCGATTCTCCTAACTACTCAAAATTTCCACTACCGATTCTCCAGAACTGGTCAGAAGCTGCTAAATACCACCTCTGGATCACTTCCTTTGTTCATTAAGCTTCAGACGTCTTCAAGTTGGTCATCCAGAAAGACTAAGCTAGCAACCCTCAAGGCTAACTTGAAATACTAGAAGGTGCTGTTTCATTAGTTCTAGATGGCTTTGGGCCAAGAATGTTGGATCTAAGCAGTACAAATCCCAGCAATTAAACTATTATCATAAGAATCTCCAAAGTTAGCAACTTTAAGACTTATGGACTTCAATTCCCAGCATGGCTAGTTGGGGAATTTCTGGGAGTTGAAGTCCGCAAAGTCTTAAAGTTGCCAACTTTGGAGATCCCTCATGTTGAGGAACCTCTAAATCTGGAAATATGGAGACTTACACAAGTTTGAAGACCCAACTTTCTTTACCACTAGTAATTTTAACTGGAGCTGGTAAGAGTTGAAAGCAACAACATCTGGAAGCCCATAGGTTCCCCATCCTAATATGTATTTGTTTATTTTATTTGTCAATCGCTTACAAGATAATAGGTATAAGTATAAACATGAGTAAGAATACAGGAAATAGGTATGAATAAATGGGGACAATAGGACAGGGACGGTAGGCACAATTGTGCACTTATGCACACCCCTTACAGACCCCCTAGGAATGGGGTGAGGTCAATAGAAGATAGTTTAAGGTTAAAGGAGTGGGAGTTAGAGGATGTAACAACAGAGTCAGGTAGTGAATTCCAGGCATTGACCACTCTGTTGCTGAAGTCGTACTTTCTGCAATCAAGTTTGGTGCGATTAACCTTGAGTTTGTATCTATTGCTTGCTCTTGTATTGTTGCGGTTGAAGCTGAAGAATATAAGTGATGTAACAAGGACAGGAAATAGTATATTGAAACAACAGAATTGGAAGGAGCTATTTAGGCCACAGAATTGAACTCCCTACTCAGTGCAAAAACCCAAATTAAGGCATCCCTGGCATATAGCCTCTCCTTGAGCATCTACAAAGAACTTGAGACCACCAATTCTGTGGGTATTTGGAGTTGGCTTAAAAGACAAGTTAATATATTAAAGACATGATTAGGGTGGTTTTTCCCAGAAAAAAAGTTTGTCATCTAATAGAATGCATTTTTTCCCCTCTGTTTACTTGCATGAGACCAGTTAACCAAAGAGAGTTTAAGATTTAGCCCACCACATCAAATCCTTAGTATCAACAGACCAAATACCCAGTATTAAAAAAAAGAAAGAAAGCTGAGATAAACAGAGTAGGTTTAAACCATGTCAAAGGTAAGCTGCTGAATTAAAAACTTTTAAACTAAGCCTTGCAGTAAAACAGACTCCCAGAACAGAGACTGACTTACGCCGTGGCTATCTCTGTTCCCAATACTATCGAACCAGATTGTGCCTGTCTCCCTCAAAATCTCAAAATATCCAAGGCTTAGTTTTATGAATCTAAATATACAACAAATTTATTTGAGGCTTAGTTTCAAACAGATGGATTCATTTCTACTACTGTTCTTGTAAATACACTGTAGAGTGTCAACGTTTTAGCCAAAGAGAACGAGAAACAGTTTCCACTGTCAAAAACCACTGAAAGTTCAAGGTTGACAATTAAAACTGATGATGACGGATTTGAGGATTCGGGTAGCCCCTTTTTCTGATCACAACATTTTATTAAATAGCCTAAGCTTTCAATGGGCTGAAGTTCACTTAACAACGGAGCAAAAACCGTGATTCCCCATAGCGTCTGCTCTACCGTCATTCCTATGCTAAGGGGGACATCAATTTTTAAACCTGAAGACCATACCCCCCCCTCTACTAAAGTTCATACGTTACTGCTATAGAGCAATATATCTGGCAGCTTTAGGACATGATAACTGATATAAGTGTTGTTGTCATACCCCTGGTGGCAACTGACTCTGAGGGAGAGGAGGAACAGCCGTCAGGGAGTGGAAGTGTGGCTCCAGAGGTTGTGGAGGAGGCTGAGGAAGGGCAGAGGCCGGCTGGACAGTCAGAGGAGGACCCGGGCCCATCCCCTCTCCATCCTAGGGCAAGCAGGGAGGAGAGGATAAGGGAGAGATGTGGTCTACGGGGGAGGACAGGGCCTTGATCCTTTTCAAGGGCTGCAGCTGTGACAACTGGATAAGAGGAAGGACATGCGTACAGACCAGTGCTGGAAACAAAGCGTGGAAATATCTCTAGTTTATTGTTCTTCTCTGAGTTTGGCGTCCTTCCCAGTGTGTTTTCTGATATCTGTGGACATCTTCAAGCCCTTATCTTGCCTGATTTGTGTGTTTTTTAGTCTTTATAATTTAAACGGCATTTCCTCCTCTTGTAACTGCTTGTGTGGGAGTTTTTTGTCTCCAGTCAAGGATATTTGGAGCTTGGAAGCAAAGTGAAGGAATAAAAGGGGCTTCACTGGGTTTTTGTGACTGTGTTTATTTTGTATCCCACCCTGGGTCATCACAGTTGTGCCTCCAGAATTCCTACCAATATGTGACTCAAGGCTATATCTCAAAGAAATGAAAGTGCAGCTCACCGTGTGGCTTTTTTCAAGCCTTCATAGGCAAACCAGAGTTCACCATCTTCATTCAAATGCTGCAAGTCTTCAGGAGACAACCTGTTGATCAGGGAGAAAGGATAGGGGAAGTTAGGAGAAAGATCTGTGAAGAAGAACTGGAAGCTGCTACCTTCTGGAAAGCCAACAAAGGGAGATCAGTACCTGCTCCTCACGTCTGTAAAGTCATAGCTTTCCAGGAGTTGCTTTGTAATCTCGGACATCTTCTCTAAATGAGAGCAAAAAAAAAGAAAAGTTGCATGCATGTTGACTTTCTACTTCGACCACGTAGTCCTAATGATGACTACACATCCAGGTTTGCTTGCAATCAATTGTTTTGCTTCATTGATCAAGTTTCACTGATTTGATAGCTACAAATCAGCTTCATCTAGTTTCTGCCTTCCATATATACCGGAATTGCTTTTCTGGACTCCATTGCCATTGCTTTCCATTTCCATTGCATGCTGGCTGGGGAATTCTGGGAGTTGAAGTCCACACATCTTAAAATGGCCACGGTGAGAAACACCGATCTAAGGAATTCTGGGAGTTGGAATTCCATCACGTGAAGAAGAAATCACGTTGAAAAAAGCTGCTCTAAGAACACCTATGATTTACAAATTTTCCCACCATGTACTTCACAAAATAGTCACACTGAACTTGTTTATATCCTATTAATTCAGTTTATTGAGTCAGGAAATAGTCTTGACAAATGCTGATTTTGAGTTTTTGCCGATTATTTCCCCCAAATTCAATCCCTTCATTTCCCTCTTTTTTGTGCGCAATGCCTCTGCATTTCCAGAGTCACCGTATAAATGTCCACAGATGAGTTCAAGATAGAAGGCTATATCATTATAGCACTTGGACTGTGAAATCCATTTGCCGGCACATTTTAATTATGAGAATGAGTGATGTTTTCCAATTACCTCTCATTTCACGCTTCTGGAATTGTAGTTGCTTCTCCGCATCTAGTTTCTGAATCTGAAGGAAGTCTATTTCTTTTCGCAATTCAGGGATTGTCTGAGTTCATTAAACATTGATAGAACGAGACATTGTTCAATGAGATGTAAATAACGAGGCAAAAAGGATGATACTACAAATAGCCACAATCCCAAAGTTAAAATGACAGTTAGTAATTTGGAATTATGTTTAAATTTGAGGATTAATTGGGTTTAGGTAGGAAGTATAGGGATAGAGTAGTGAAAATAAGAATAAAATGTGCAGCATATGAATATAATAATAACAAGTATATAAGAGTAACAGTGCACAGCACATAAAACCAGGAATTTGAATATCCCAAATTAATATCTATTTCATTTCTTATGTCTATGGAGATTCTTAATCATTTTTTTTCCCATTTCTTATCCTACCTTTATTTGGTTTGAAAGCTCCTCTATTTCTGTTTTTAAGCCATCTTGAGTTTGTTGCATTTCTTGAATCTGATTTTGCAGCTGAGCATTTTCCTCTTTGAGAAGCATTATTTCTGCATTGAGTAACTCAATTCTTTTGTCATAATCTTGTTTCTGGCTCTGGAAATTTTTCTCCAATAATCTACAAAGATTCAGAAGGACATCCTTGTCTCTCTAGGAACACAATTCTACACCTCTAAAACACAAGTCAATTACAGATGTGCAATATCTCTCTTGTATATCTGTTTGTGGCATATAACAAGGTGAAATATATGATATTTTTTTAAAAAGTTGATAGTAAAAGAACGGAAACGATAAATCAGCAGCATTACACAAGGATAACTTTCACTCCTTTTCTTTCAGCACCCATATTTTAATCAGAAGATGTGTGTATCATGTGTTTCTCAACACTGAGAACTTTGATCTGTGGATTTTAACTCTCAGAATTCCTCCTGCTGGCTAGGGAATTCTGGGAGTCGAAATCCGTGCATCTTAAATTTGCTAAAGTTGAGAAACACTGATGTATATGCCAGTAACTTTGAAAAAAAGAAAGAAAAAACCACCATATTTAAATGACAATCCTTTGAAAATCCAAGGAGCTGCCTTATTCTAACACAATGAGATTGAAGGCACAAAATTCACATAATTATTCAGATGTTGGCAAATAGTCTTTCCACAGGATTACATGGTCATTCCAGAAATCACAAAAGTTGTACTGTGACTGCTCCCCCTGGAGATCTACAACCATAATAGCAGGCCTTGTTAAATAGTTTTAATTTCTACATTTATTTTCTAAATAGGGTTGTGGACATAAAACAGCCCAATTACTCTTTGCAAACTTTCTCATGCTAACTTTTTCAGGATTGACCCTGTACTTTTAGAACTGAGTATGTATACTTCCTGCTTATACGTCCTACTTAAACTAATACGTCTTCACTCTTTTTAAAATAATTCACTTTCTTTGCAAACGGGAAAACCAATAGTCCTAAGAAAATGGCAATTTGAAAAAAGAAGTTAAATTCCATACATTCGTTGCCTTTCCTCCCTTTGAACATCAGAGAATAATTGCTTCGTCAAATTATCCAGTTTATCTGAAGAAAGATAATACCGACATTAAAAAAAAAAACTTTTTAGATAGAGTAGCATAATTAAAATTAAGCCAGATGTAATTTTAAAGACTATCAAGCAAAGCTTAGAAAAGTTTGATTTTATATAAACTAAGCTTACATAGCAGTCTACAATGGATGGGAAAGACATTACAATTTTTTTAAAAGCCAAATCTGTACTTTTCACAAAATAAATTTAATATTAAAGCATTAAAGTTCTTGCCTTCCAGTTATACTAAACTTAAAACATATATATCTTACAACTATCATAGATAAAAGCATTTCTGTATATAAATACCAAGACAGTGTTAAACTTTTTAATCATGGTTATAAAATCATTTGTATTGTGAATGTCCTTTGATCTCTGTTTTTAAAACCTGTAGTTCCTTTATTACTGTATTATTATATTTTAGGCTAATGAACTATAGTTTGTCTTAACCGTGATTTGTAAGCCCTAAGTCTTAATTCACATAATATAAGAACTACAAATCAGAGTTTACAAGGCAGAAAGATAGGATTTACTCGATAGACAATGCCAAAACTGAGTTTGTGTTCAATAGTCTGGCTGGTAAATTCTGCTTTATATTATTGCATAGTAGGAAGCTAGCGTGAAAAGATCAAAGTAGCAACTAATTCTCAAAATAAGAGCATGATCACACCTTTCATTTCCTCTGTTTTCTTTTGAAGTTCTTTTTCCAGCTTCTTCTTCTCTTCCTGTAGCCCTAAGTTGTGCTTTTCAAGTCCTGAGACCCTCTAGATGGAGAAGATAAAGCAAGAAATATATATATATATATCTGTGTGAAAATTCATTTATTTTCAAACCCTTTATTTTCTATCCATGGTGGGCTGAATCACATTGCTCCCAAACTCATTTTCTATTTTGTTATACAGAATTTACGATCACAACTGAACCCAAAATTTCTGCTGCTAATTCATCCCAGGACTCAGCAACTGTCATAAATACGAACCGGGGTCTGAATTTTGATCACACAACTGCAAGGAGGCTGCAATGGACGTTAAGTATGAAAAATGGGCCTAACGCAACTTTTTTCGGTGCCGTTGTAACTTTGAACAGTCACTAAACGAATTGTTGTAAGTCCAGGACTACCTGTACGTTCTCTTTACGCCTCACCTGTTCATAGCCCACCCTGTTCTTCCTTTCGTTTTCTTCAGATATTTTTCTCTGCGCGGTTAGTTTTTCAAGGTCCTGGTGAAGTTTTTGAATGGTCTCCGTATCACTGGAGTGACTTGAAGCAAGGAAGGCCAGCTTTTCCAACAAACTATGATTTTCCTTATTCTAAAACCAGGAAGAAAAGAGCATCCATGAGGCAAGATAATAAAAATACACTTGTTGTGGTTCGCTGGCAGCTGGTGCAGACGACAGTGGAATCGGACAGTGGGGAAGAACAAGGACCAGTCTGGGAGTCTGGGGAGGACTCGGATGAGGGTCTTGCATCCAATGCAGAGATGGGGCCAGGGCTACCCGGGAGTGGGGCATTGACTCTGGAGCCTCCGGCGAGGCAGTGAGGCCGAGGAACAAGGGAAGCCTGTTCCCAAGTGTGCATATGCACAGAGCTGCTAGAAGGCAAGAGCAGCTAAGACAAAAGATTTGACTTGGGAATAAGGCTGGGAGGTGATTGCCCCTCCCATAAGGTATAAAGGACAGGCAAAGGTGATTAAACCTTTGCAGGAAGCAAAGTTGTTTGTTCTGTTCAGATTCATCCTTGAAGCTCTGTGTGGACTTTGTACTTTGTTTGGTTTTTTATAATTCATTTGGCACTCTAGTTATTGGCAGCAATTCAACAGAGAGAAAAGTGGGTGCTTATCTCAAGGGACTACTTGGGACTCATTACAGGCTGGGAATAAACATAATTCCCAGCGTTGAAATAAAACAAGAGTTGTTTTAACTAAGCGTGTGCTTAATTACAGTCTTGGAAGCCTTGGTCAGACCAACATTAACTTATTTGAATGATGGTGCAATTTCTTAGCTACCTGTTCTTCCAGTTTTTTCTGCAGCCGCTGGACTCTGTATGAAAGCTGGATGTTCAGGACGAAACGGCGAATGCTCTGGAATCGGCGTCTGGCCAGCCATGCCCGGGCGTACTTCTGGAGGATTAAAGCTTTCTGTTCTTCAAGCATCTTTGTAAGAAAATTTCATTTATTTATTTATCAAATTTAGAAACCCCCATCTCCCTCGCGGAGCAGGTGAGCAAACTGACACCACGCCTCATCATTTAATAACCTTCCGTTCAGGGGATAGTTGACTAATTGAATTAAATCGTAACTAAATTCATCTGCAAAGAGTGTAACAAAGGGAGTGAGTAAAGGTAACCAGTATGGAAAACACACCAAATCTTTAAACACAGGTGACAAAGGCAACGATAAATTTCAAGAGCAGTCAATGGGAAATGACGAGAATGCAATTATGTTCTTACTTACTGCTTCCGCAACTTCGCCTCTCACATAACAGAATGACAGAATGGATGGCAATTAATCACAGAGAGAGCCAACCTCAGAACAGAAGAGAACAACAAGAGTTGGAAGGGACCTTAGAGGTCTTCTAGTCCAACCCCCTGCTCAAGCAGGAGACCCTATACGGTTTCAGACAAATGATTATCCAATCTCTTCTTTAAAACTTCCAGTATTGGAGCATTCGCAACCTCTGGAGCCAAGTTGTTCCACTCAATTATTGTTCTAACTCTCAGGAAATTTTTCCTTAATTCCAGGTTGCTTCTCTCCTTGATTAGTTTCCACCCATTGCTTCTTATCCTGCCTTCAGATTCTTTGGAGACTAGAATGATCCCCTCTTCTTTGTGGCAGCCCCTCAAATACTGGAAGACTGCTATCATGTCCCCCCTTAATCCTTCTTTTCATTAAACTAGACAACACTGTCCAACTATTTACTAAGTCTGCACTACTATTACTATTAATCTTCTCATCACTCCTTATCACCCATCTCCTCCCACTTGTGACTGTATGACTGTAACCTTGTGGCTTGTATCCTAATGATTTTTATTGACTGTTCCCTAGTATGATTCGATTGCTTATTTACCCTGTGACTATTATTAAGTGTTGTACCTGATGATTCTTGATGAATGTATCTTTTCTTTTATGTACACCGAGAGCCTTTGCAGCAAGACAAATTCCTTGTGTGTACAATCACACTTGGCCAATAAAGAATTCTATTTCTATTATTTCTATGAAGCAAAGCCCGCTTACCCACATTCCTTACTGAATAATAAATATGAAACACCAAAGATGGGTCTTTGGTAAACTCAGTTTCAATGAATTTTTACCTTCCTGTATTTCCTCCTTGCTAGAAATCCTCGTGCGAAGGCCTGGATCGTCAAAGCAGCCACACGGATGAGTTGGCAAAGTCTACGCACTAAGTATCCTCGGCTGTATTTCTGGATGACTATGGCAGCCCAGATTTCCTTCAGGGCCCTGGCAGTTATAGCTTTCCTGGAGAAAAAGAGGAATACAATGTTTTCAGTGAGTGAAAGTCTTCCTTTGAAGACACCTTCTCAAGAAGGTGCTTTCTACCCAACCGTTATTGTTTGTCTCATGGGTTTAATCCAGGGGTCCCCAAACGTGGCAACTTAAAGACTTGTGGACTTCAACTCCCAGAATTCCCCAGCCAAGATGGGGAATTCTGGGAGTTGAAGTCCACAAGCCCTAAAATTGTCAAGTTTGGAGACCTTTTGACTAACACAGTCAGTGGCTTATTTTGCTGCAAAATATGTCCGCTGGAAAGGTTCCCATTAATCAACGAAGGACCATCTCCATTGTTCCTTGCAAATACCGTATAGTCTTCTGTCCACGGAAGTATTGTTGTATGATGACCGCCGCTTGTCTGACGCGGAGGAACTTTTTCCTCTGAAGCCAACCTCGGATGTTCTTCTGAACCATGATGCATGCTTGCCTCAGGCGATCTGATCGCACTTTTTCCAAATAGGCGACCTGCCCCGCTCTGAAAAAAATCTTGGTCCTGCCAAACTGATATTGACTTGGATCCTGGGGGTGGGCGGGGGGAATAGAAAAAGAAATCGGAGTCATTTCTGAGAAGATAAAATCTAAAATCTGCTAATCAGTGGTGGGATTCAAAAGTTTTTACTACAGGTTCTGTGGGCGTGGCTTGGTGGGTATGGCAGGGGAGGATACTGCAAAATCTCCATTCCCTCTCCACTCCACTAACCTGCTTTCCAGCTCCATTCTCCTGTGCAGGGCAACCAAAGAAGAACCAGCCAATCAGCTGGGACTTGGGAGGCAGAGGAGAGATGGGGTTGGTGGGGCCAGTCAGAGGCGGTATTTGCCGGTTCTCTGAACTAATCAAAATTTCTGCAATCGGTCCTCCAGAACTGGTCAGAACCTGATGAATACCACCAGGGGTGGGATTCAAAATTTTAAACAACTGGTCCTGTGGGCATGGCTTAGGTGGTGGGCGTGGCTTGGTGGTCATGTGATTGGCTGGGTGTGGCCAACTCAACATCATTCACATGGAGGCACGCATCTCCTCGCCTAGCCTCTCATGACTGTGGGGATGCTGCAATCATCGTAAGTGTGAAAAAGGGTCATAAGTCACTTTTTTCAGGGCCATTGTAACTTTGAATGGTCACTCCACACAAGCAAAGTACCAGCAAAGGAAGGGAAAAAAACTCCAGAGACGTTCCTGAGACAGGAAGTCTAGTCCTGTCAAGAATGTAATAAGGGTTAATGGAAAGGCAGTTTCTATAAGCAACACCAGAATGTTTCCTTCCTGCCTTCCTTACAGGATTAGCCCAGTAATTTCTTATAACAATCAGTTCTCCGAACTGCTTAGAATGTTAACAACCGGTTCTAGCGAGCAGGTGCAAACTGGTAGAATCCCACCCCTGAATCCCACCTCTATTGTTGTTGTTACAATGTTTCATGTCTATTCCTTTTGCTCTTTACATGTATGGATGGTTAGAGAACTCCTGACCTGGATTAGCCGCTGCAAAACCATCTTGCAAATGTGCTTCTTGTCCGTTAGAGAAAGTTCACTTTGAGACATGAGAATGCTGTAGCGGCTATAAAACTCAATATAAGTCCATCTGTCAAAGGAGGAGAACATTGGAATCAGTCAATCAAAGAGATGCGAAAGTCAACCTTTGAAGAGGTATAACTCCATACCTTGATGGGTAACTCTGAGAGCTAATACGAATGGTTTCTAACACCCCACATGCTCGTAATTGCTGGACCACTCTTTTGGAGTCAAATCTAAAGAAGAAGAAAACAAGAAGAACAACTGATTTCTGCCCAATTGAAGGACAAATGTGTCCTGATCTTTTATAAGCTACACATCACATCTGGTGGTTTCAATCAGGAACAAACTAGGAGCAAATTGCTGATCGTGAATATCATGGAACAATCAATTATTTTCTCGTGAAGGAGGGATGTTTTTACATTCCAGATGGCATTCTTTGGAGGTTGAGAGCCACAGTGGAGGAGATAATAGGTCACAGTAGATACCATCACGCTGCTGGGCTTGCTGACAAGATCTCATCAATATTTTCTGGATCCTCAGCACTGTTGCACTAAACTAAATTCATACGTAGCTAAAAGCCAGATAAGCATCTGTGAATGTATCTTTTCTTTTATGTACACTGAGAGCATTTGTACCAAGACAAATTCCTTGTGTGTCCAATCACACCTGGCCAATAAAGAATTCTATTCTATTCTATTCTATTCTATTCTATTCTATTCTATTCTATTCTATTCTATTCTATTCTATTCTATTCTATTCCATTCCATTCCATTAGAAAGAAGCTGCAATTGATCATTTCTATCAACATAAAGATACAATTTCCTTTTCCCCATAATTTAATGCTGATACTTATTTCCCCCAGCCCTTCTGTTCTTTAATGGACCTTTTGCTCTGTGCTTCAAAATCTTGCGAGTTAGTCGTCTCGTTTATAAAACAAACTTTCAGCTCATGCTATTGTAACTACGAATCGTATTCAGTAGGAATTTTTCCAAGAACAGGCACACAAACATCTGTTAATTCACTTCTATGCGCACTCATATAATGTATATTTAAATTAACATCATTTTTTTTTTCAATACTCACTCAAATGCCAACTTTTGATCATTTGGCTTTATGCACCGGACATAATGTGGTGTGGTGGCATTAAGAGTCTCCATTAATAAATATAAGGAGCTGCGAAACTGAAATATAGAGGGTGAAAAGTTTGTTTGAACTTTTAGAATACAAGCAACATCTTTCTGGCTAATTTATGAATGGAAGCTATGACATTTATTACAAGCTTCATACTGATGACAGCCCTTATTGTCAAAACAAACGAGTGTACAGAAACTCAATGAGTCTGGTGGATCGAGGTTTGGGAGTCCATCTGCCATATCTCTTTTAGCTCCCTCCCACTTTCAGTTCCTCTTCCTTCAAGCCTTTAGTTGAGTCCCCAATTCTTTCCCAGCCTCAGATTGTTCAAGGCAAAGTAAGAAAATAGATACAAGAACTAGAACAATCCTGCATGTAATTTTTTTTAAAAAAAAATTCAGTGTTTCTCAAACTTGGTAACTTGAATCTAAAACAAAAATACCTTACTTCCAACAGTTGCACGGAACTGTTTGTTAGGTGACACAATCACTGTTTTTGCAGACTTAACTTTGATTGCAGAGTTGAATGGGGAAAGAGGGACTGGACCATCCTGGAAGAAGTTTGCAAAGAGCCGAAACTACGGAGAGATGAAAATTAAAATTAGATAGCACGACAGGCAGTTTTCGATTTAACAATCATTTGTTTAACAACCGTTAGAAGTTGCAATTTTTGTACCGTGGCTTTTTAATCACCTCTTCAAGTGAATGGGGGAAGAAATGTATTTTCAAACTTGCAAGGTTCTTTTCATGCAACTTTACATTAAAGTAGATTTAGCTCATCTGGACATGCTTCTAGTTTGGTCTACCGTGCAAGGCTTGGTGGAGTGAACTTTTCATTCACAACGACCTGACCAGATGGACACATTCAGTTCCGGCCAGACATTGCCAGAAGCATCTCTGTGTCGTGCCATTTGAGATTTAAGCATCCAAAAAGGATGGAGTTTAGCTTTGATCATTTCCAGACATCTTGCAAAGTTATGCTTACCAGAAGTATAATAGCAAAAGTACTGTGGAATCCTAAAAAATATATTTACCTTACAGTTTCTCAAGATATCAATCAGTACTTCATACACAGTGTCCCGGTTTTTTTCTAGAAATCCTTCATTTTTATATTCTACCTGTTTAAGGAAGATTATGGAACAATGGTCAATCACAGAGCAATGAAGTTATAAAAAGGAGAAGTGTTATATCCATTCCCAGGATAGATCAGTAGGACAGCCACAGGGTATATCTGTAATTTTTAGATTTAAGATTCTTTGACAGTGAGTTGGCCAGATCCCATCAGATCAAACAAGAGTGATCTCCAAGGGATCACAGCTAATTATTTGTAAGCAAATCAGGTCATGAATTTCAGATGGAAGGAGATTTATAAACATCTCCTTTAATTCCCAAATAAAATATTATATCGTAGTCTTAGAAAATCCATGACATGATTGGACTAAAATGAGAAGCTTCTACAGAAATCAAAATAACTCATTGGCAAAATTGTTTCAGAAGCTCGTATCACTCACTCCTTTTAAACTATGACCTTGTTTATAGAAATAGCATCATTTTTGCGGGGATAGGTGATATATTATTAACTCCATATTAGGTGAATAAATCATGACAAAAGATGATGTTTCATTCTGGGAAATAGAAGGGTGTCATTTCTTTCCATGTTGAACACCTTACCTTGTCAGCAAAGTGCTGGATAATAAAAGAAGTATTTGACATTCTTGGTTTTTCAAAGAGAGGGTTCTTGTTCATAAAATTATTATATAGCTTCTGGAGCCAATTTTCGTCAGTTCCTTGAGGTAGCTGTTTTGAAAAAAAGCAAAAATGGCATATCTAAAATTAGAAGCAATAAATGAAAATGCTTATTGAATGATCAAAGTGGTTGGTTGGTTGAACAACCCATTTCTTCTATGCAACACCAAGAGTGTGTACAGTGTGTAACTTTTTCTACACAGCCATCTTAGCTTTCTTGTTCTATAATACAAGATGTGTTGCAATCTGGAACACCCCATCCTTCTCTCTGACTGGATTCAGACTTTTCATAGGCATCAGGATTTATTAAATGGCTGAGCCACAACTGAACAAACAAGGCATGGCTACTTAATGCAATATCCAAAAATAACCCGTGGATAACTTCCATGCAGGAATGAACACCTGTTGCTGCTACATTTCACAACCAACATCCTGAAGTGATCAGGCTAGCCAGAGTTACCAAATGCAGTTAACAGGATTCCATGCACTGCAATAAAGCATTTGATTCTGGCTTGATTCATCAATCCAAGACATTTTATAGCTCAGATGCAAATTCTCCAAAATTGGCTATATCTGTATCTCTGCTTAAGAGTTGCCGGTTTCAAGTATATTTTGCATCCTACTTTGATGGGAAATTGCATCTACATAAATAGCCTTAAGAGACAGAAACTATGAAGATGAATTTTGTGTTGGTGAGGTGTCTTGCTAATATGGCTAAAAAGCATTAGGGTAGCAAAATTGCAAAACTGCCTTTTGCAAGGGTGTGTTAAGAAAATTAGCCCCCCCGCCCCAAAAAGGGACTAGATTTGGGTTTGTGAAATTGAAACGTTGAAACGTACCAAACACTCTTCATCCAAAAGTTCTAGAATGCCCATTTTAGCTTCAATCAGATCGATGACAGGTTGATTGTCATAAAAATCAATTAACGTCCATGGGATATTTTCCTTCATGTATTCTTCTTGTTCAAGTTTAAAGACATGCTAAAAAATGACATTGCCAATTTAATCTCACAAATACCGTCCGTTGTTTTACGAGTCACATCAAAACTCAAGGGTTGCTTAACAATACAGAAGTATTTTAAAGGTGCCAAAACATTTAAGCTTTGAGTTTTACTGCCAAAAATAAGCCAATTTTTTTTTTCTGGAACATGAACTCAGGACAAATTTTAATCCAAACTAACGGACATCCATTTAAAAAAAGATCATACCAGGTTAAATTGTTGCTGTAGTTTTTCATTGGCATAGTTGATGCAAAATTGTTCGAAGCTATTCAGATCAAAGGTTTCAAATCTGAAACAAATGGTAGAAAGTTTTAAATTTTTAGACTGGAAAACAAAAATTATGACGTGATCCTTTCTATCGTGAGTTTGAGAGGCATTGCAGAGCAATCATTTTGGGGCAAAAGATATTAACAATATTCTTGTACTAGATCATGTGAGAATGATCGATTTGTAGAATCTGAAGAATTCAAAGAGGTCACTCAGTGGAGAAGTCCCAATGAAGAAGTAGTGTCCACATAACTACAGGTAGTCCTTGACTTATGACCACAGTTGAGTCCAAAATTTCTGTTGCTAAGTAAGCAAGACAGTTGTTAATTGAATTTTGCCTCAGTTTATGACTTTTTAAAGTTGTTAAATGAATCAGTATCATTTTGAGGGTAGGAGTTGAAACATTATCTGTATTTAATACAGATGTTGGGTTATTTCTGAAAAATGGATCACCTTACCCATAAATATCCAGAACACCAATAAAGCTATGTTGTTTGCCTGAAAACTGCAAGGCCTTGTTAATTTGTTCCACGATGAAATCAAAAAGATGAGAATAAATCTTCTTGGCCAAAGCATCTCGGGCGTTTATAGCTTGGAGTTTCGTCATTGGCTTTACTACGGTTTCAGAGGTAGTAATAATTTTCCTGTGACAAAGCCATTGAGCTATTTTATCACTTTCGACTCCCAGGAGCCCACAAAATATATTAAGATGTTTGTCCTCCACCTTTGAAGCAGAAACAAGAAGCCTGTTGTCAATGGGCAGTTAGATCACCGAAACTGCTACAGCTTCAAAATGCAATATATTTTTTAACATGCAGCTTGATAGTCCACAGATCCTGTTTTCAAAGTTCTGCTTCCTAGAATTGTTTCTAAACCTTACCAACTCGAAGATGAGTGGACTTCAACTCCCAGAATTCCCCAGCTAGCATAACTCTCTAGTGAATTCTGAGAGTTGAAATTATCTCATCTTAAAATTACTAAGGTGAAGAAACATACTTTTTTTTTACAACCCTGTAATCCCTTAATTAGGGGTAGAGTTGGGGTGACTGAATGGAACTGAGTATTTACTGGCTGGATGCCCTTCCTGACACCCATGCGGAGTTCACAGCACATATTTTCTCCTTCCCGCCTCGGAAAGAAATACCTGCCCCATCTGAGGTTTGAACTCTCAATCTTCTGAGTAGGAGGGGAGTGCCTTCACCACTAGGCTACCAAGCCGCTCAAGGTGAAGAAACACTATCCTAAAATATCTAGAAGATCCTGAGGTTTTGCAATCCTGGAACTGAGTGCCAATCCTGCAGAATTTAACTTTTAACATACTTCTTCTAGATTTGTAACGGGTTAGAGAAAATCATGAGAGTGAGGTTTCTCAACCTTGACCATTTGAAAACGTATAGATCTCAACTCCCAGAATTCCCCAGCCAGCAAGGTGCTTCCTACTGAATGTAATACCCCAAAGCCAAAAGATTAAGGGACTGAAGGAAATAACTTATCAAAACCTTGCATTGTTCATGAAAACATGCTGCCAGTAAATCTTACATTAACACAAGACTTTTCATCGCCAACGGGACTGATCTGCACATTGCCTAAATGAAGAATAGCGGAGAGTATTTTGAAAACATCCATCTGAAAATCTTCCTTCAGGCCTGCAATGAAAAATGAGCAAAAAATTATTTCTCACCCTGATGTTAAGATTACAAATAATTTTTACATTAACAGTGTGATTTGATGGATGCTCCCTAAATTCAGTGGCTCCTAAAAAGGACAGGGCGTGCTGGCTCAACAGTTAAAGACTGGAACGCTAACAGTCCGTGTTTGAGACCTGAGTGCAACTCACAATGGAGCGAGTTCTTGTTCCTTGCTCCAGGCTCTTGCCCACCTAACAGTGTGAAAGCACGCAAATGCAAGTAGATAAATAGGTACCATTTTGGTGGGAAGGTAACAGCGTTCTGTGCACCTTTGGCATATAGCCATGCTGGTCACATGACTACAGAAAATGTCTTCGGACAATGCTGACTCCCTTGGCCAAGAAGCAAGGATGACTATCATGTCCTATATTGGACTTTACCTTTTGTACCTAAAAAGCTGCATCGGATAACATGCCAATTTTTTGCCAATCTATCAAAAACTAAAGGACCCACCAGCATTTAATAAATATCAGAATTTTGCTGTTTGTTTTTTTTTAATAGCTAACTTGACTGATCTTACCTAGCAGGCTGAAAGTTTTCTGAGTTTCCTTCATGTCGGCACGGTCGTTCACTCCTTCAATTGTGGTGTTTCTACCCATGTTAGTATAATTAAATTCTTCAGCACTTGCTATGGGTGGAAAGCAAACACATCACCAGATATGCTGACTGTGGAGGCAACAGACTCCTAAGGAATGGGTCATAGGTAGCCAAATATTGCAAAGATTCAGGAGGGAAAATGAGTCTTTTAAGATTAATACTGATAAACCGTTGAACTTTTGGTGGAAAGAACTTAATTACAAGATATTATTTGTCAGAAATGGTGAAGGGTAGGGAGTTGGACTAGATGACCTACAAGGTCTCTTCCAACTCTGTTAATCTGTTAAAACTCTATCCTCAAATACTTGCAATAAATGTGGACACGTCTCCTATCTAGACTGAATTCCCAGGACTTTCCAAGGGGAACGCCAAATTGCTTTGCTATTGTTTTCCACCATCTTATTTTATTTATTTATATTTATTGGTCTCCCAATTCCAGTGGATTCAATATGTCATTGAATAGATCAGAAATTGTAGGCAGAAGGGTTGGAGCATTGGGAGAGAGATCCTTTTTAATAGTTAGCAGGGTGAGGTTTACTAAACTGGGACCATATCTTGGCCACACGAGAACATACAGTCCTAAAAAGATGCTACCAAACAAAGAACAGAAGCCTCCCCTGTGAATTATGCACCAAACTGATGTAATAAAGAAATAAAAGAGATTAATCTATAAGGTGATAGGTAACATACCCAGCTGAAGATGCTTAAATTCGGGTCTCTGAGCCGATGCGCACAGCTGATAGAATATGTGATAGTTTCTTTCATTTTCTGACTGCAAATGAAAGGAAGAGAAAGATAAAACTAGAAATAGTTTGGATGTTTTGCTGACAGAAGAAAGAAATGAAATGTTGATTTGTGGATTTGACGATTAAGAAAGATGTAAATTAAATGAAGGGCTAAAATGGACCTATATAATGCCTAAGAGAAAGGAGGGATTATAAAATTGTAACTATCTACTGAAAAGAAGTTCAAAAGTCATTATATTTCTTATAGGTTTTTTCCCCCTTCTCTTTTTTTCATTTCTTGAGTCTGACCTTCCTTCCTTCCTTTCTTCCTCCCTCCCTCCTCCTTCCCTCCCTTGCTTCCTCCCTCCCTTTATCCTCCTTTCTTTTCTCTATCCTCTTTCCTTTCTTCCTCCCTCCTTCCCTCCCTCGCTTCCTCCCTCCCTTTATCCTCCTTTTTCTCTATCCTTTTTCCTTCCTTCCTTTCTTCCTCCCTCTCTCTTCTTTCCCTCCCTCGCTTCCTCCCTCCCTTTATCCTCCTTTCTTTTCTCTATCCTTTTTCCTTCCTTCCTCCCTCCCTCCTTCCTCTCCTCCCCTTTTTTGCTTTGTTTTTTACCCTTTGATATTTAAAAAAAAATGAATATAATCAACCTTGAAATAATTTCAAAATTGAGAGACAGAAGGCCAGCCAACTTTCTGTGATGTGGGTTATTCAGAAATGGATGTGTGCAATGCAGTGGGAAGTTTCTACTCAGCGTCCCACCCACATTGGACCAATTGCTAGATTGTGCAACCTGCCGGCCTCTCAGACAAAAGTGGTTTTGCATTTTAGCCAAAGCTCTTGCTCCGATAATGGTTTTCACTTCTCCATTGAAAAACAAGAGGAAGCATCTTGGATTATTCTATTTTCATAACGTCTCTGAACAATGCTAAGAATTGCACACAGAAACCCCAAAGCAATTTTGCTGTCTTTCGTTCTTATTTTGTTCCTATGAAGAAAAAAAACGTTTTTTAAAAAAACTTTTAATTTTACAAGTTTTTTTAAGGCCATCTCTGAATATTGCTCCTGAGCAGCATGTTGGTTAGATATAAACCTTAAGACAATCTGCAGAAGGCGAGAAAGCTCGCTGTCTCTGAAGTTAGTAGAAACGCCCTGATTTCGCTGCAAAGTTTTACTAACCTGAAAAACAACTCTAGATTTTTCGAGCAGGTATGTCCTCATGTTTGCCCCAATGATCTGGTACTTCTTATCAAAACTGATTTCCATGTATTTTCCAAAGCGACTGCTGTTGTCGTTGCGAGTAGTTTTAGCATTTCCAATTGCCTGCGCAAAAGATGAAATTTTTTTAGATGGCAAGGGGGCTATTTCTATCAGATGATTCAGTTGGGAAACATTTAGAGAGTCGGTTTGGTCTATTGGTTAAGGTGCTGGCTTAGAAACCAGGAGGTGGTGAGTTCTAGTCCTGCCTTAGGCATGAAAGCCGGCGGGGTGACATTGGGCCAATCACCAGGAGATGGTGAGTTTTAGTCCCGCCTTAGGCATGAAAGCCAATTGGGTATCTTTGAGCCAATCACGAGACAGTGAGTTCTAGTCCCGTCTTAGGTAGGAAAGCCAGCGGGGTGACATTGGGCCAATTACCAGGAGACAGTGAGTTTTAGTCCCGCCTTAGGCATGAAAGACAATTGGGTATCTTTGAGCCAATCACGAGACAGTGAGTTCTAGTCCTGTCTTAGGCAGGAAAGTCAGCTGGATGACTTTGGGTCAATCATCAGGAGATGGTGAGTTCTAGTCCTGCTTTAGGCATGAAAGCCAATTGGGTATCTTTGAGCCAATCACGAGACAGTGAGTTCTAGTCCCGTCTTAGGTAGGAAAGCCAGCTGGGTGACTTTGGGCCAATCACGAGGAGACGGTGAGTTCTAGTCCCACCTCTGGCATGAAAACTGGCTCGGTGACTTTGGGCTAATGACCAGGACACTGTGAGTTCTAGTCCAGCCATAGCCATGAAAACCAGCTGGGAGAATTTGAGCCAATCATTCTCTCTCAGACCAACCCACCTTACCAGGCCGTTGTTGAGAAAGTAGGAGGAAGGAGGAATATTACTATGTTCGCCGTCTTGTGTCACATATAAAGTAATAAAGATGGGATAAAAATCTAATAATAAAATAAAATAATTTACCTCTGTTATCGGATTGCATGCCAACACTTTATCCTCGACTTTAGCGTTGCTGCTAGATTTGCTGACCGTCGCAAAATATCTCATGGCGTATCGAGCAGAAACTGTTTTGCCAGCTCCTGATTCCCCACTTACAATAATTGATTGATTTCGGTCATTCCTAAAGAAGAACATGATCATCATCATATCATTATCATCATCATCAGGAAGTTAGAAATAAGTCTCTTCAAAGGTCATTATGTTCCTTTCACATTAGATTCCAATTTGGTCTAAGGCAGAATCACCATGATACAAAGATATTTCAGGTGTGATTAGTATAAATCTTTAAAAAAAAATCATTCTGGGCTCCAAAAAAATCAATGAAAATGCTTGCGTGATCACTTTACTGACTCTAAATCAGAGGTCTAGTAGCCTCTTTTTATACAACGTTTAGGTACTACGGTTTTGTGAGCTGTAGTTCATTTCATTGGATGCACAGAGTAGCTGAACTGACATGAGATTTAAATTGGGGTAAGATCAGGATAAAGGACCAGAAGGCAGGCCGGTTATTGAAACCCAGGTTACGTGTGAGACAGATGATGTACCTTCTCATTTCACAACTCTCATGTGTGAAAAACTCATTGTGTTAGCCTGGCATGACCTCAAACTTTCTGCTGGAAATTAAGTGCCATAATCTCTCACTCTATTGTGCTGATAAAAACCTCATTTCTGCAAACGGTCCCTTTGGGAATCTGCTTCAAAAGACTGAAGATATATTATTTTATCCTTCTTTGGACTCAAGATTCAATACAGAATAACAGAGTTGGAAGAGACCTTGGAGGTCATCTAGTCCAACCCCCTGTCTGTGATGACCCGGAGTATAACACAAACAAACACAAAATCCAAAATGTAAATAAATGCCCTTTAATGCCTCCAACTTGGCCCCACTATTCAATAATTCTCAGTTGGAGATAAAATGTATTCAAAAATAGTCTTCAAAAGAAAGCAATACAGTCCGAACTTAATGAGCAGATAGAGGTGAAATAAAAAAACTAAAACAAGCTACAATGAAGGAATTTCCACCACAGACCAGGATAAGGAATTACCAACTTCAAGGAGATAACAAGGCACAGTCTGTTGGAAGGATGCCAACCAAGATCACTTCAGCCTAAAATAAAACACGGTTTACTTCTGGCAATGCTGTATTGTAACCGTCTCTCTTATATACTATTCTCCCCAGCTGCAACTAATGAGGGGGATCATGGCCGCTTCCTCTCTCATAAGCCAAGTTGTTCCCTTCTCCATTCTTCCCTGCGTGTCCTTGGATGAAGAGGGGAAGGGCCTGGTTCTTCCTCTGACTGCCCAGCCGGCCTCTGTCCCAGCCTCCTCCACAACCTCTGGAGCCATACCTCCACTTCCTGTTGGCTGTTCCTCCTCTCCCTCAGAGTCTGACTCTAACAAGGGCATGACACTGTCCAAGCAGGAGACCTTACACCATTTCTGACAGATGGCAGTCCAATCTCTTCTTGAAAGCCTCCAGTGATAAAGCTCCCACAACTTCCGAGGGCAACTTCTGTTCCATTGGTTGATTGTTCTCACTGTCAGAAAGTTTCTCCTTATTTCCAGGTTGAATCTCTCCTTGATCAGTTTCCATCCATTATTCCTTGTCTGGCCTTTGGGTGCTTTAGAAAATAGCTTGACCCCTTCCTCTCTCTGACAGCTCTCTGTCCCCTCCTGATGGAGGGAGCTGCATCTAACCAAAGTGTGACTCTTTTAATGAATTTTGTTATCTGGAAAATGTACTATAAGAGTCAACAGAATGCACACAACAGATACAAACTCAATGTAAACCACTCCAAACTTGATTGCAGAAAGTACAACTTCAGCAGCAGAGTGGTCAATGCCTGGAATGCACTACCTGACTCTGTTGTTACATCCTCTAACCCCCACTCCTTTAACCTCAAACTAACCACTATTGACCTCACCCCGTTCCTAAGAGACCTGTAAGGGGTGTGCATAAGTGCACCATCGTGCCTACCGCCCCTGTCCTATTGTCCCCAATAATTCGTACCTATTTCCTGTATTTTTACTCATGTTTATACTTATATCTATTATCAGGGTTCTGGCAGTTACTCCAATTAAATCATGAGCCTTGAGCCACACTCCCAAAACTAAAGAGGATTTATTTGAAGATAACATTCTACATCCGGCACTAACCTGGGTGTAGCCAACATCTTGTGTACATGTTTTATAGTTGACACCTATTATCTTGTAAGTGATTGGCAAATAAAACAAATGAAATAAATAAATAGAATTCACCACCGGTTGGACTTAGATCTCTTGTGGCTACATAAGGATTCCAAACTGATGATGTGTTTGACCCCACCTTCGGGCTCTGCCTAGTCATCTCCTACACCTTCTTCCACAATCTCTTATTGACTCTAAGAGTCTCTTTCTCCAACCTTCAAAGCTTACAGGGAGGGGCGGGGGGTGCCAACCTTCACCAAGGTTAATCCCAGGACACTGATCAGAACATACCTTGCCATTTGCTTGTAAGCCTCTTCTGCTACCGCGAAGATATGGGGATCCATGTCTCCCATATTTTGACCACTGTAAGCATGAATGATGGCATCCCCATAAATGGGCAGCTCTTTGTAAGGGTTTATGGCGACCAAAATTATCCCTGGGGATGACACACCAGTAGAGAATTTATAGAGTTGCACCAGTTGTTTTCTTTAGAATCCTAAATGCAACGCGGATCAACCCCGTGGTATTTACCGCTATAGGTGTAAATCAGCCTGGACTCCACAAAACGAACTCGAAGGTTGTGTAAAACGGCCGGTTCGTGGAGGTAGCTAAGGGCTGTGAGGTCATTTTCTCCAACGAGAATGTCTGGATTTCGTAAAGGTGGCAAAGCAGAAGGATCCACTGGATAATCCAGCTCCTGTGAGTAAGCCAAGCGAAAAATAATATTACAGACTAAGAGTTGGAAGGGACCTTGGAGTTCTTCTAGGTGCCCAATCTCTTCCAAACATTCTCCAGGGTTGCAGCATTCTCCTTAGTTCTAGGTATAGAACCGTGATGGCGAACCTGTGGCACGCGGAGCCATTTGTGCCAGCAGGCGAGCCACTGGCAAAATTACCTCACTGCGCATGTGCGTGCCTCACAGGTGATTTTTGGTTGGTTTGAGGCCTTTTTGGGCCTCCCAGAGGCTTGAGAAAAGCCTCTGCAGGCTGAATAGGCCCGTTTCGCCACTTCCTGTAATACCGGAAGTGACGAAACGGGCCTATTCGGCCTGCAGAGGCCAAATTTGAGAGGCTACCACAAAGAACCTGTGCTCCAAAGCAACTGAACGGATGGAAACTAATCAAGGAGAGAAGCAATTTAGAGCTAAGGAGAAATTTCCTGACAGTTAGAACAATTAATCAGTGAAACAACTTGCCTCCAGAAGTTTTGAATGCTCCAACCCTGGAAGTTTTTAAGAAGAGATTGGACAACCATTTGTCTGAAATGGTATAGGGTTTCCTGCCTAAGCAGGTGGTTAGACTAGAAGACCTCCAAGGTCCCTTCTATCTCTTGTTATTTTGTTCCGTGCCGAGGTTTGCTCTCTCCGTGATTAGTTGCCATCTATTGCTTCCTGTCCGGCCTTCAGTTGCTTTGGAGAATACCATGTATTCTTTATTCAGTCTGAAGATATATCTGCTATCTTTACAAGCAAACCGTGTCTTGGATCCAAAAGGATAAGCCAATATTAGAATAATACTTTCACGTGTTGCCAGTCTACCACCGCCTGCTTAAAAACACCCATTCTTTATTCTCACTGTGCTGTCTTCCAGCTGGAGGTGAAGAAAATGGTCTCCAGGCCTATAATTAGCTGTAATTTCAGCAGACTGCCAAACCTCTTCAGCATCCGGGATCCAAACTCTGTTGTACTACAAGAAAGGAAAAAAAATACAAACATCACAGAGGGTTTGGTGGCTTAATTCTTAACAGATTTGATTAATTTTGTTCTCAAATAAACAAAGCTAAAACCAAACATAGATAGATGAGTGTAGCATCAGCAAAAATGAAAACAGCAAACATTGCTTGCCTTAATGCATAATTGTAACTAACCGTTATGGTTGCTTTTAAGAACCTTGTTGCAGTGAGTTTCAAAGGAAAACATAGCAGAATTTTCTATGCTGCAAAAAACAGATTTTTTTTTTTGCATGGAATTTAAAAAACATTGTTTCCCTACTGTGAGAAATTTGGCACTTACTTCCATTAATTGAAGTGGGATAGAGGTATGTATCTTTAAGATTAACTTCTAAACATTTAAGTTTAGAGGCTTATAATATCCTATACTATAGGAATTAAACTTTGAAAGTTCCCACTTGAACAGTTTGCTTTTAAATGTGTAAATTCAAATGTCTACTATTGTAGAAAAGGCCTTTTTCCCTTCAAACATCACTGTATCAGGGGTTGATACATTAGAAGGTTCTTACTTTACCCATTGGTTTTGCAGGGAGTGATGGGATCTGTAGTTGACTGGAAAGCACCAAGTTGGGAAAAGTGGTTTGCCGAGAAACTATCATCTGCATAGAGGATTAATCCCATGTGCAACCATGTTCTATGCTAGAGCATGTATAGCATTTCTCAAACTTGACAGCTTGACAGATGTGTGAACTTCAACTCCTAAATTTCCCCAGCCAACCATGAGTTTATGGCTGGTGGGTTCATTTAACAACTGCCACAAAAAAAGTCATAAAATTGAGTCTGGTCACATAGTGATCTGCTTAACGACTGCAATGACTGTACTTCCGGTCCCAATTTCAGTTGTAAATCAAGGACTAGAAACTACATTTATGCTGAATTGGAAGCTCCCTTCCTTGTTTATATAATCTGTTGGCCCGTTTATTGCCATCACTTGACCGAGAAACAAGTTATACAAGGAAGTCCTTCTCGATTAACTCCAATCTAAACCATTTTATTCCTCCTCATTCCACCAGTGAGTTGATATTCGTCCCTCTCCAAGTTCTTGACTAGAAAAGTTTTAAAAGAAAAGAAAAAATAGCTACAATCGATCGGTTACTCATTGTGTGCAAAGCAGGGGTGGGATTCAAATTTTTAACAACCAGTTCTGTGGGCGTAGCTTAGATGGTGGGTGTGGCTTGATGGTCATGTGACTGGGTGGGCATGGCTTGGTGGTCATGTTATTGACTGGGTGTGGCCAGCTCAATATCACTCACATCAAGGCACGCATCTCCTCGCCTGGCCTCTCGTGACTGTGGGGATGCTGCAACAGTCGTAAGTGTGAAAAATGGTCAAAAGTCACCTTTTTCAGGGCCACTGTAACTTTGAATGGTCACTCCACACAAGCAAAGTACCAGCAAAGGAAAGGAAAAAAAACTCCAGAGATGTTCCTGAGACAGGAAGTCTAGTCCTGCCAAGAATGTAATAAGGGTTAACGGAGAGGCAGTTTCTGTAAACAACACCAGAATGTTTCCTTCCTGCCTTCCTTACAGGATTAGACCAGTAATTTCTTCTAACAACCGGTTCTCCCAACTGCTTAAGACTGTTAACAATCGGTTCTAGCGAATAGGTGCAAACTGGTAGAATCCCACCCCTGGTGCAAAGCCACACTTTCAACAATGTTCTGTGGAATGACTAGGTTGGATTTGAACAAGACATCACTATGTGCTGTAAATTGTTTGGTTTTATAGCAACTGAGCTCGGAGTTTGCTAAGGCAAAATCAAACAAGCTGTATAATAGCATAGAGTGATGTATGACGCTATCTGTGTTTCTTTCTTCCTCATTGATTTTTTCTGTCCTCTTACATCCCATGATTGTCACTGAGCTGTTATATGGCTGGACAATGCTTTAAAGGTTCTTTAATTCTTTGAATAATCATCAACCTTCATTATAGTCATTAACCAACACAAAGCAAGTTATAGAAGAAATGCAAGTGTAGACCGGTAAGTCAGTAGAATCAAAATAAATTTAAAAAGGGCTACACATAGAAGGAAATGTTTAGCAGGTTGGAATAATATAAGGGTAAACTTAACGATGAAAAAAGGGAATTAAGATACAGTTATATTTTTTATTTATTACAGCCTTTAGCTTGCAAAAAATCAACTATCAAATGATGCAAGAGTTGAGGTCAGTTTAAAAAAAGGTAGAAGGATGGTAGCCTTCACTTAAAAGGCTTCTTACAAACCTAAGGGAACAATAATAGAATAGCAAGAAAAGGATAAAACAAAATACAAATTCCCCTAAGAGGCAAGAAGAAAAATAATCAATCTTAGGCAATATTGGAAATAAATATTAGTTAAGTGCCATGTTTAATCTGCAATGCACAGATAGCTAAGTTCATATCATACACTAAACGAATGTTTCCCAAAGATGGCAACGTGTGGAAATCAACTCCCAGAATTCCCCAGCCAGTTGATGTCCACACACCTTCAAGACTCCAAGTTTGAAAAACACTGTACTAAACCGTCGCACGCTGTGGATTGAAGTCCACTTGCTGAAAGAGACTTTGCACAAGTGGCACCTTTGCATTTGTGCACAAAAGAGGTTTTTGAGCTGAAACATTGCAATGCAAGAAGAATTCCTTCTTTTGTCACATATGTTAACTTGATCTGATCTTGAAGCAGACTCTTCCAGGCGCCTCCATCTGCAAATATGACAAGCCATCTACAAATCAGGGAACCTGCCTTGCAAATAAATACAACAGGTTTACTTTCATGCTGAGTCACACCCAAATTTCCCCCGCCCCCTTCACCATCGCAAACTGGAGAATTCCTGGAGTGACTGGAGAAAGTATATAGAGGTTACATGACCCCTGTCTGAAACTGGAGAATTACCACATCCTGTATGAAAACTAGCAAGTACACAACTGAAGCTTTCAAGCATGAGGTCATCTGGGTACTTTATTTTTTTTTCTACAAGGATTTTCTAAGATCCTGCAAAAGCACTTCCTGATTTTTTAAGTATATAATTCTGTAACAGCAATTCTGCAGGTGATTCATGCTTTTGGACTCACGCAAGAAATTGCCAAAGGTTTCTACAAGTTACACAAGGTGCGTCTACCACTGTGGGTCCTTCATACAGGTGATCCTCCACTTACAACCAAAATTAGGATCACTGTTTCTCCTGTTAAGCAAGGCAGTTGTTAAGTAAGTCATGTCCAGTTTTTCCATCGGTTTTTTTTTTTTGCCATGGTTGTTAAGCAAATTGCTTCAGGTATTAAGTGACTCACACAATTGTGAAGTGAACCTAGTTTCTCCCTTTGAGTTTGCTTGACAGATACTGGTCTGATAAGTAACAAATAGTAATTGTACGACTCCAGAATGCTGCAACCGTCATAAATATACACTGGTTGCCAAGCACCCACATTTTTTGATCACCTGACCAGGGGGATGCTGCAATAGTTGTGTTAGTACAGTCGTAAGTCACTTTTTTCAATGTGGTAATTTCAAACAGTCACTAAATGAGAGGTTGTAAGTCAAGGATTGCCTATAGTATCTCTGAATCTGGAAAGAGTAGCAAATGGCAGGGGTCCTTAAACTTGGCAACTTTAAGACTTGTGGAGTTGAAGTCCCAGAATGGCTGGCTGGAGAATTCTGGGAGTTGAAGTCCACAAGTCTTAAAGTCACCAAGTTTGGAGATTCCTGCATTATGGGATAAACTTTCTCTCCTTAAGTCAACAAAGGACTCCAGACAGCTTTTGGAGTTCAGTCATTCTGCCAACTGGCTTCATTTACCATTTAACGCCTGATTCGCTGGGATTCAACAACGATATTGTTGAAATTAGAGATTGTGGAAATTGCTTTGAGAGAGTTTTTAAAGCACAACCAGATTTGCATAATATGTGTAATCAAGTCAGGTAAAAAGCTAAGGAGATGGATTCACACACAACATATCAAAGACTCCCTACCTTGGTTAGAGGTTTTCCCCTCCCTGGTTTAGCATGTGGGGGAAAACAGCACATTTAGTTAATTTATAGGCTAGGGGAAAAAAATGGGTTTATTTGGGAAGCAGGGGAGAGTGCGGGGTGAAAGTTTCCCCGAGGCTGCCCACTGAAGGGCCCAGGCAAGTCAGCCTGTTGCAGCTTGTGAAACAACAACTTTGGAAAAAGGTTTACTGGACCAGCCATGTCTAGGACTCTGGTCTCAGGCCCAGGAGAGGAAGAACGTTGAAAAGAGGGGAAGAAACAGGAAAAGAAAAAATAGAGATGATGGTGGCAAAAGAAAGAAAGAGAGGGGGAGAGGGGAGGAAAGAAGGAAGGAAGGAAGGAAGGAAGGAAGGAAGGAAGGAAGGAAGGAA